CGGGGGGGGGAAGGAGGAACAAAGTAATCTCTGGCACTGATAATTAATTATCTTTGCAAAACAGTCCTGAAGAATTCTTGTGATAAAAATAAATGTATATTCAAATGACACGGAGATACTTTTTTTTTTTTAACCTATCAGATTAGCAAATACTGAAAAGATTGATATTACTTATTATTGGCAAACATGTAGGGAAATTCTCTTAAAAAACAAAAACAAAAAAACTCTCAGGCTGGGCACGGTGGGTCACGCTTGTAATCCCAGCACTTTGGGAGGCTGAGGTGGGTGGATTACTTGAGCCCAAGAGTTAAGACCAGCCTCAGCAACATGGCAAAACTCTGTCTCTACTAAAAATACAAAATTTAGCCGGCGTGATGGCACACGCCTGTAATCCCAGCTGCTCGGGAGGCTGAGGCATGAGAATCGCTTGAACCCAGAAGGCAGGGTTTGCAGTGAGCTGAGATTGTGCTACCGCATTCCAGCCTAGGCAACAGAGCGAGACTCTGTCTCAAAATAATAATAATAATATACTTATAAAGTACTTTATAAGTAAAATAATACTTATAAAAAGTGAGATAAAACTTATATAAAGTACTTACAACCGTGCCTGACACTCCCTGAGTAAGCATTCCCCAAATATTAGCTATTGTAAGCATAGTATATATTTTGGTGACAAAATGTGAACGTTTATCAGGTGTCCTTTTAATGGCATGCTGTGTGTTGTCTATATTCTTTGGGGGTTACCTGAGTCTATAGGAGTCTTTCCCTGTCTCTGACTAGGCTATTTCACATCTCTATGAGCTCTAGAAAAGTATACTGATGTTACAGTAGGTAGGTAGTCAGACATGAGCAGGGCAGGAGAGGAACCTCTCTCACTTAGAATGTCAGGTGATCATCAGGTGTTTATTATACTATCTCTAAAATGAGAATTCGTCAAAGCCAGTGCTAGGGAAAGGCAGTTTCCCAACAGAAAACACCTGAAACCGGTGATCAGCAGCTTCCTGATAAGATCCCAGGAAGTGGGCAAGTGGGCTCAAGCATGCGCACTCAGAGGCAAAATGGCGGCGTTTAACTGTTGTGTGTCCTTCCTCTAGGAACGCTGGACTGGTAAGGAAAAAAAATGCCTCAGGTGAGCATGTGCATAACTTCAGTAAACACACTGCACATGCGCCCCTCTCAAGTGCTGGCAGACCACTGTGCATGCAGACAGCCCACCCCAAGGGAAGACTCAGGGGAACAGTAACGCAACCCTGGAAGCATGCCATTGTGTAAGACCCCAAGTCCAAGGTAAAATCGCACACTGGACTCTCTCACGTTACCTGCTTGGCTGTCTTCCAAGTGTACTTTTTACTTCCTTTTGTTCCTGCTCTAAAAATTTTTAATTTTTAACTTTTAATCCTGCTCTAAAATTTGCCTCAGTCTCTTCCTCTGCGGTAAGCACCTCAGTCAACTTCTTACTCCTGAGGAGGCAGGAATTGAGGTTGCTGCAGACCTGTATGGATTCACCACTGCTAACATATTTTGGTGGGATTCAGATACGCCCCCTAGAGGGAATTGTAATGCAAATTATCCTTGCCCATAGAAATGCAAATTTTGTCCCATAAATGTACAATAAATAAACGTATAGAGACAATTCCAAACATCGCATTTTATTGCCCTAAAAATAATAACCAGTTTTTCATCTACTATCAAATTTATTTCTGCATTCTTGATTGCATATATATACTTGTCTGTTAATCAGATTCTCCTTTGAACTGGCTTTAATATATTATTTCATTAATAACCGAGTAAAGTAAAATCTTTGACAAGCACTCATTTTGTATTTCTTTAAGAGTCATGATTTTACCTTTTAAAAATTGTAACTGTATTTCTAGTATGATCCTATCTTCATTAAAAAGATTTTTGTCTTTCTATTTCTTAGAGAAAACTTGAAAGAATGAACACAAAAATGTTTACAAAGGATATCGTGGCAGAGGTGGGTGGAAAATATTTCAGTTGCCTTTTACTCTCTTCTTTATACATTTCATATGGTCCAAACATTTGTATACTGGGCATCTGTTTTATAGCAACTTAAAAAAAAAAAAAACCCACCTATTCTCCCTTTTAAAAGACAGAACAGGAGACTTTCCTGCTGGAACCAGTCCTTTGGGATGGGAGGAGAGAGTGTTGAGGGGTCAGATGTGAGCAGCTTCCTCACTCTGTCAGGCTTGGTTATTTATCTAAGGAGATCCCTTAAGAAGCAGGGCAGGCCAGCTTAATTCCCAGCAGACCTGTTTTTTCTGACATAACACACTTAGGCATAAAGTCAATTGAAAGTGGCAGAGCATCAAAGTCATCTTAGTGGCCAGGTTGAGGTGGTCAAGCCTGAGAGTTGGGCCTCAGCTCTGGCTAGCTCAGCCTCTTTGACTATGTGCTGGTCAACTAGCTCAGACTCTCGCTGCGGACCAGAGAACATCAGCCCTGAAAGAGACCCACCTAATCCCATCTCTTCTTTCTATGAATGGGAAAACAGGCCTGAAGAGGGGAGGGAGCTGGCGGAGAGCACACAGCAAATTGGGGTCACGCTAGCACTAGAACCCTGATGTCCAGAGTTGTGGTCCAATGCTCTTTTACCTCTCCACATTGGGCTGATTGTGAAGGGCCTTGAATGCCAAGCCAAGGAGAGAAACATGTCCCAGAGAAACATGGCACGCTAGAACTGGAGAGGGCAACATCAAAGCTGCACTGTAGAAAGTCTTCACTTAGAGCAGGGAGGAGTTTACCTCTCTCCTTCTGGGGGCTGGGCTGGGAATTAGAGCTGCTCTTAAGACCTAATGAAGACCAGGCCTTCAATAAACTGCCCTTGCAAAGCAGCCTGCCATGTAATTGCACTTGAAGGAAAAACTGGCTGCTCTTTTTTTTATTTTGGGAAGAACATGGTCAGGGGACTTTTGTTATGTAAAGGGAGATGGAAATCCCCTTGAAATGGAGAAGTTTTGGACAATAAAATGGCATAATGGAAAGGCTGAGTTTGTGACGTTAACTGGCTTTTTTTGGACTGGAGCTTGACTGGGCCAAGGCGCCTGTCCTCGGGGTCTCTGCCAGAATGAGGGAAAGAGGCGGCCCCTCGGCGCTGAAGAGGGCAGGAGATGGAGTCTGCCATCCAGGCTTAAGTTCCTCTTTATCACTTACACTGTTCCCAAGCCTGAAGCCCCAGATCTCACAATTTTTGACATTTCAACAAACGAATCACACTATTCTTTACTTAATATTTTTTTGTACATCTATTCACTTTTAGCAACTGATATTTTTAAAGAATATTTCTATTGCTACATCAATAGCAAATCAACTTCATTTCCATAAAAATAAATACAAGGAAACAAAACAATATGATTAAGTTCTGGCTAGATACGGTTGCCTGTTCTGTCTTTGTTAGAAATGGAGATTGGAATTACGTTAGAGAACTTTTACTGGCATGTTAGGAACAACCTGAAACTTTCCTTGATTTAATCAAAAGGAAGAGAAAATCATTGAAAATAGAATAACTGTCTCACCAAGTGGTTTAGTTACCTAATGTCTTTGTGTGGAACAGCTGAAATTAGCTGTGGTTCCACCACTGATTCTAGCCAAACCTTGGAAAATGCTTTGGACTGGACCTTGCTCTCCCACGCATTGACTGAGTGACCTTGGGAAAGTTCCTTAACCTGTCTGAGCCCCTGATTCTTCACTTGCAAAATGGATGTGTTGACAGGACTGACCCCCTCAGCTTCTGGGGTATGCAGTGACAGGAAGCATGGGAAGTGCTTCACCTACTGTGATCTCTGAGAGGTGAGAATAGTAAGAATACTAATGATGCTGATACCAGTGGGCTAGGGGAGGTCCCCAAATGCTTCACCTACTGTGTTCACCTACTGTGTTCTCTGAGAGGTGAGAATGGTAAGACTACTAATGACACAGATACCAGTGAGCTAGAGGAGGTCCCCAAATACCTGTAGGACCTCAGCCTGGCTGGTGTGCAGGCTTTTGACGCCATTGTGGGAAGGAATTCAGTGACAAATCAGAAAATAGTGAAAGTTTGGAGAGTTATGGCAAGACAAAAAGTACACACTCAAGAAAAGGGAGTGTGGACTGGGCGCAGTGGCTTACACCTATAGTCCCAACACTTTGGGAGGCCGAGGTGGGCGGATCACCTGAGGTCGGAAGTTCGAGACCAGCCTGACCAACATGGAGAAACTCCATCTCTACTAACAATACTAAAAATTAGCCTGGTGTGGTGGCGCATGCCTGTAATCCCAGCTACTCGGGAAGCTGAGGCAGGAGAATCACTTGAACCTGGGAGGCAGAGGTTGTGGTGAGCTGAGATCGCGCCATTGCACTCCAGCCTAGGCAACAAGAGCAAAACTTCATCTCAAAAAAAAGAAGGAAAAGAAAACAAAACAAAAGGGAGTGTGGGTATACTTAAGAGAGACAGTCATGCAACTGGGTTTGCAGTTTCCATCTACATGCGTTTCTTTAACTAAGAGGTGGAATATTCATGAAGATTCCTGGAAAAATGTGAAGATTTCTCAGAATTCTGGTGCCACTCATTTTTACACCAAATATGGGTGTTCCAGGATCTGTCCTGGCACTGGTGGGTATGTGATTGAGTATGTTAATGAGCATACAATGAGGTCCTAGGTGAGACCTAAGTCAAATCCAGCGCCATGTTGGGTCCAGTTGGTCTTAGCCAGCTTGACCCACACCCTGATTTTTCAGGGTCTTCTCAGCCCCTAGCTTCTGCAGCTATTTTAACAGTTCCCTTTTGCTAGTCGTGTAAAACTGCTGCCTGGAATTTACTGTTCTCCTGTGTCAACCCTGTATCATTCCTGTCTCAATGCTATCAGGAAGGCTTTCGTAAAATCCCTTAACTTGGTGGGGTGCTGTGGCTCCCTGCTATAATCCTACACCTTGAGAAACCAAGGCAGGAGGATCACTTGAGTCCAGGAGTTCAAGACCAGCCTGGGCAACATGGTGAGACTCGTCTCTATTTAAAAAAAGAAGAAAAAAAAATTCCCCTAATTTGAACCTTCTGGTATTTGGTGTGCTTTGGGGAACTGAGCCAGGAGACTGGGTAAAGAGAAGCAGCAGCCACAGAGCCCCAGCAGAAATGTCCGGCCAGAGGAGTTGGCCCCCATCAGGTGGATCTGGGCATCAAGGAAATATCCCCAGGACTCTGAGAAACATCAAGGAAGTGAAACTGAATAAAGATATTGGACTTCAGGTGTCATGCAGGATGGATGCTTGGACAAAATGGTAGGGTAGCCTCCAAATACTAGATAATTTGAGGACCCTGGGAGATGAATATTATTGTCCTCCATTTTATATACAAGAAAAATGAAACTTGTGAAAGTTGCCAGTACCAAAATGCAGTCACTTAAGCTAAACTCTCACAAAATGGAGCTGGGAGGCCACGAAGGAAGGGTCCTCATGCATGTATGCCTATAACAGAAACTATCCAAGGAATTCCACTTAAGGCACCTGGCTTGCACAGGGACATTTGCCCAACAGCGGTTGTCTCCACCAATAAGCTAATGCCATCTCCTGCAGCAAGCTCCTGTAACCAATGGTCTTATTTTCAAATTAGCTTACATGTACATTTCCTCCTTTATTTATTTATTTATTTATTTTTGAGACAGAGACTCACTCTGTTACCTAGGCTGGAGTGCAGTGGTGCGGTATCTGCTCACTGCAGCCTCCACCTCCCAGCTTCAAGTGATTCTCGTGCCTCAGCCTCCTGAGTAGCTGCAATTATAGGTGCACGCCACGATTCCCAGCTCATTTTTGTATTTTTAGTAGTTACAGGGTTTTGCCATATTGGCCAGGCTGGTCTCGAACTTCTGACCTCAGGTGATCCACCCACCTCAGCCTCCCAAAGCAGTGGGATTATAGGCATGAGCCACCATGCCTGGCCTCTCCTTCTTTCTCTTAAAAGCTTCCTCTTGCCCCATCCCCTTTGGTGTACCTGTGGTCCGCCATAGCACATGCACCCAAAATCGCAATTCCCTGTTATTCCCAAATAAACTCTTTGTTTTGGAGAACTGGTCTCTCCACTGTTTATTTCAGGTTGACAGACCTAAAATATAATACAATATTAAATGACTGCCAGACAATTCATAGCAGACCTATACTGCATGACCACTCTTCTTAAGAGCTCAGTAAATGTTCTGAACATGCTTGGTCATAGCTAAACTGTGATTCGGGGCATGAGGTAGACTGGGCACATACAGAAAAAGAATGAATAAGATCAGGATATGCAAAACAATATGGACAATTTGATCGCATTTATGTAAAAGAGAAAACACACACCAAAGTTATATCTTTATGTATGTACCCTTATATATGCAAAAGCTTGAAACAGACCTGGTAGCAGTGTTAACAGTTGGGTAGAGAGGAGCCGGGAAAGGAGGGCTTGTTTTGTTTGAGGTTATAATAATAATAATAATAATAATGATATATTTCTGTTATTTGAATTATTTAACAATTTAAATTTTAAAAATTTAAAGAAATGGCTGTTGTGGGCTGAATTGTGTCACTCAGCCACATCCCAAATGAACTGAAGTCCTAACCCCCAGTACCTCAGAATGTGACTGTATTTAGAGACAGGGTCTTTAATGAGGTAATTAAATTAAAATGAGGTCACTAGGGTGGGCCCTTATCCAATATGACTGGTGTCTTTATAAGAAGAGGAGGTTAGGGGCCTATTGGAGGGTGTAGGATGGGAGGAGGGAGTGGCTCAGGAAAAAGAATGAATGTGCACTAGGCTTAATACCTGGGTGACAAAATAATCTGTACAACAAATCCCTATAATAGAAGTTTACCTATGTAACAAACCTGCACAAGTACCCCTGAACTTAAAATAAAAGTTAATTTTTCTTTTTTGTTTTTTGAGACGGAGTCTCACCCTGTCGCCCAGGCTGGAGTGCAACGGCACGATCTTGGCTCACTGCAATCTCCACC